GAAACGGAACAAATCAAATAAAGGATGGATAAATGGGACTGCATTAAACTGCAGTGATTCTTCATGGCAAAGTACATAGCCAGCAAGATAAATAGAAACCCCACAGATTGGGAGAAGATCTGCACTAGCTATACAACAGACAAGGGCCTCATATTAAAAATATACCTAGAGCTCAAAAAATTAAATCCCCAACAACAAATCCTCAAAGTAACAATTGCCTGATTAATAAATGGGCTTAAGACTTGAAGAAGACTTCCCTGAAGAGGAAATAATAGCCAACAGACACATGAAAAAAATGTTCAACATCTCTGGTCATAAAAGAAATGCAAATCAAAACTACATTGAGATTCCAACTTCACCCTGTTAGAATGGCCATTATTAAGAAAACAAATAATAACAGATGCTGGTGGGGATGTGGTAAAAAGGGAGGCTACTACACTGTTGGTAGGAACGTGAACTGGTTCAACCACTCTGCAGTATGGAGGTTCCTCAAAAGACTAAACATAGATCCAGCAATCCCACTCTTGAGCACTTACCCAAATGATCACAAGCTAGGCCACACTAAAGCTACAAGCACAACTTTACACATTGCACCATTATTTACCATAGCTAAGATATGGAACCAGATGCCCCTTAATAGAGGAATGGATCAAGAAAATGCGGTATATATACACAATGGAATTCTATGCTTCCATCAGAAAGAATAGCATCGCCCCATTCATAAGAAAATGGAAAGACTTGAAAAAATCAAGTAGGCTCTCTGGTTTCTCTAGTTTGTAATAATCAGTATCTGTCTAGCAGAGGATCCTAGCAGAGGATCACAATAGCTCAATAGCTATGTACATATGACCATATAAAATGATGTTAATCAAAATGAACTCCAAAATATGGAAACACGGGTTTTGTTTTTGTTTTTAATGTACTGTGTGGTTATTTCTTTTTTTCTTTCATTTTTTTCCCTTTGGTTTATTCCATGTCACTGTTTTTTTATTTTGGTACCCTGTGCCTTGTATATATGTTTATCTGATGGGGGTGGGGGAAGGGAAATGGGAGAAAAACAAGGCAGGGGATAACAACATTTGAGAAGAAATATACTCATTACTTATGTAACTGTAACTCCTCTGTACATCACCTTTATAATAAAATAAAAATTTTAAAGAAAGATATACACACACACAAACACAAACACACTCATACTTGTGGAAGTAATGTTTGAGGATCGAAAAAAGGAAAATGGAGTTTAATCTATACAAAGAAAGTATAAAAATATTAAACAGGCTTGGAACCATCATTCAAGTGGTAGAACACTTGTCTAGCAAGCATAAATATGTAATTTCAATTCCCAGTAATAATTTTTTTAAAAAAATAGAATACAAAGGGAAAAAAGATATTAATTTTTTGGTAAAAGTAATTTTATAAAGAGGGGTTACAGATACATAAGTAAGAAAATTAGTACAATTCTTGTCAAACATTGTTTCCCCTCCTTCATTTTAGCCTGCTATCCCTATCCCCCCAACTCCCCTCTCAACCAAGTTGTTTTCCAACACAATGTCTTGAGAATATCACTGTTGCATTGGTTCACCTTTTGTCCTTTGTCTCACCATTTCTGTGATTCCCCTTCCAAATCCCAAACCAGATAAACTTATATATGATACAAAGGGTACCAAAATAAAAAACAGTGACAACAATGGGTAAACCAAATGGGGAAAAAAATGAAAGAAAAAAGAAACAGCTTCATACAGTACACTAAGAAAAAAAACTCTTGTTTCCATATCAGCTTTTTTTGGGTTTTTTTTCTGCCTCAATAATATTCATAAGCGCAACAAAATGTTTAATTCTCTAAAATGATTATTGGATAAAATAAACATAATCCTAGAGGAAAGATATGGTATGTTTCCCAAATTACCCAGATCAAAACTTAGTTAGGACAATTTATCCAAATAAGGAAATATTAGCTCCCCCTTTCCAAATTTAGTAAAGGAACTAAGGAGAGAATTTATGCTTTCAGGCAGTTCATTTGGGAGAGCTACTCAAAAGTACTTCATCTCACAGATGTTCTTAACGTCTCAGAATAAACTTCTCTAGTATTGGGATAGGCCTCTTTATCTCTAGCCTGGAAATATCCCCAACCTATGTTCCTATCTTTCCCTTGGTTTCTACTATTACATTAATTATTTTTACCTTTCTAACTGAATGTCTATTTTAAGCTTTATGAAGTAACAAAGGAAGTAGAATAGTATTTATGTAGATAACTAGGGAAAAAAGCATTCAGGTACTGGAGGGAAGCGCAAAGATCTTGAAGCTGAAGAATGCTCAAGAAACAAGGAGAAAAACAAAGGAGGAGGTAACAACACTCAATAAGAAATGTACTTATTACCTTACTCATGTAACTGTAACCCCTTTGTACAATATTTTTACAATAAAAATATATACAAAAAATGGCAGACTACCCAATAAGGTTTAAGAAACAAAATGAAGATTAATATGGCTAAAGGGGAGTAATTAAGAGAAGGTGAAGACATACCAGAGAGGTAATACAAAGTCAGATCATGTAGATCTCCACAGGTTATAGAGAGAATTTAGGCTTTATCTTCCATGGGCTGTAAAAACACTGGAAAGACTGAAGAGAAGTGTTATCTAATCTGACTCACTTGGTTTTAGCAAAAGTATATTATTGAGTGTGGATTTGGGTCTAATGCCTGAGCAGAGAAACAAAGTAAAAGTAAGACAGAAATCTAAGTGATACATGATGATGGTATGGACAGAATGGTGATAGCAGGGGAGACGAGAAATAGAACTCTAGGCATGTGTTGAAAAGAGAGGAGACAACAGCTTAGCTTTGAACATAATGAGTACAGGATGACTACTAGATACTTAAGCAAAGTAAACAATTAGATACACTCTGTCCTCGAGTTCAAAGAAAGAGATTCAGTGTAGATAAATTTGGGAATCCTCTGCATAAAAACAATACAGTTTTGAAATGACAGATAATTGGATAAAACTACCTAGAAGGTAAATCTAAACAGGAAAAAAAAACTCAAAGAATAAAAACACACAACTATATTCCATTGAAAGTCAACAATTTTAAAATATCTATCAAGAAACTATCAACAGTAACAAAGAGAGAAAACAAAGTTATTAATAAGTGCAGTTTCAAATCATTTTAGCAATAGAGCCTGGTTTAGTAACGAAAACACAATGAGCAATCACATTCAGCTGCTCTCACTGAAGAGAAGCCAGTCCTCTCGACTGGCTTTACTCTCCTGCTTGGTATCATTCTTGTCCTTGGAGAACACAAAGGAATATAAAATGTAGATAGAAATCTATTGCCCCAATGTCCTACTTAAAAATACAGGTTTAAAGATGTTTATTAAAGGTATTTATTTTATGTTAATTGCCAATAATAGCCCTTTTGCTGTGTTTTTCCCCAGAACACACAGATTAAAATAAATTGGGAACTTTTAACAAAATAGTTTGTACTTGTTAACCTCCATGAGCTTCACGAGCCTCAGCTGTTCAAAGGGAATAAAACTGGTATCAGCATAAATCAATATAAATATGTTAAGTATATAAATAACTTATCACAGAGGTCAGGAATGGTGCTCATGCCTATAACTCTAGCTGCTGAGGAGATAGAAATTGAGACGAATGGAGTTCAAGCATGCCTAGACAAAAGGTTAACACAAATCCCCATGTCAACACACAAGCTGGGCATGTTGGTACATGACTGTAATAGCAACAGGTAACAATTGGTTATGACTGCTCATGGTCCAAGAACAATGCAGGGTAAAGGAACAATACCCTACCTGAAAAATAACTAAAGTAAAAAAGGACTGGGAGAATGGCTCAAGTAATAAAGCACCTTCCTTGCACACAGGAGGACATAAATTAAATCTTAGTTGTGCCAATAAATAATTAAATATAGTTACATCAAACAAATAAATAATTCAATAAAAGTGTTTCTTTAAATTACTAGCTATAATTGTTGCTGCTGAATAAGCATAATTAGGTGTCCTTAAATGTAAAATAAACTATTGAAAATAAACATACAAAAGAGAAAAATCCTTTGAAAATATTGATCCTGAAGACCCTGTCAACATTACCTTTTTGTTTGTGCACACTTGTCAATAAAATAATGTACAATTTTATAAGGAGGTCTACCTAAATCATAAACTAGAATTGTATTTGATCAAATAACTTCTTATAAAAAAAAGGCTGAACAGTTCCTTTCCCTGAATTCTTTTTGGTTTAGGGGTTATATGCCTGGCATGTTTCACAGAAGATATAAAACTTTAATTTTCAAAAAAAATCAACTAAGTAGTAAGTGTACATCTATTTCTTCAATGATTCAGCTGTAAACAAACTCAGGCAGAAAACTTCAAATATTATCAAATTCAATTACAGTTCTTTTTTTTTCTGGTCGTGGGGCCTGAACTCTGGGCCTGGGCACTGTCCCTCAGCATTTCAGCTCAAGGCTAGTGCTCTACCACTTGAGCCACAGTGTCACTTCCAGTCTTCTAGTAATTTATTGGAGATAAGAGTCTCATAAACTTTCTTGTTTGGGCTGGCTTTGAAGCACCACCCTCAGATCTCATTCGCCCCAGTAGCTAAGAGTACACGTGAAAGCCACCAGCATCTAGCTTGTTGGTTACTGTTTTTTTATTTGTTGTTGTTGTTGTCTTGTGGGGTCTCAACTCTGGGCCTGGGCACTGTTTCTCAGCTCTTCAGCTCAATGCTAGTGCTCTACCACTTGAGCCACAGCGCCACTTCTGGCTTCTTCTGCTTATGTGGTGCTGAGGATCGAATCCAGGGCCTCATGCATGCAAGGCAAGCACTCTACCATTGAGCCATCTTCCCAGCCCTACAGCTCATTTTTAATTTGGAAGAAATACAAGTAAAAAGAATCAAAAGGCAAAAATTTCTAAAACTTAATATTCAATTTATTTTCCTAAGTTCATACATAAAACTTTGTACTTTATGAAAGAAAAGCAGAAACATACTTTTTGATGTGATATACTTTCAGCTGTGTGAATGTCTTCCTGATTTTTCAGTACTTTTTGTGTGTCCATATTGAGAACCTGAAGTTGCTGGATCAGCTCAGCTTGCTGTGCTGTATGTTCACTGTTCTGTTTGTATAGGTTCTGTAACTCCTGCAATTCTTTCCTGTGCAAAGCAAATAATATATGCAAGCTTGAATACAAATCATCTCACCTAAAGTTCACCTAAGGTTGGAGATTAGCTTCCTATTTTTCATTTATTATTCTTTTCTTTTTTTTTTTTTGGTCCGGTCGTGGGGCCTGAACTCTGGGCCTGGGCGCTGTCCCTCAGCTCTTCAGCTCAAGGCTAGCGCTCTACCACTTGAGCCACAGTGCCACTTCCAGCTTTTTTCTTATGTGGTGCTGAGGAATCGAACCTAGTGCCTCATGCATGCAAGGCAAGCGCTCTACCACTGAGCCACCTTCCCAGCCCTTATTATTCTTTATTACAGGAAAATATAATAAAAAATATATAAAGTATTGATAGAACTACTATGATTTTCAAAGGTAAATACTTATCAATTTTCTATTATGGCTTGATAGTAATAAAATCCCTGGATACATGGTCATAGGACCACCTTCCTGTTGAAATTAAATCAGTACTACAGTTCCAAGAATCGACAAACAACAATCTCAACTACAGTTATCAAATCATTTTGAGCACAGGATAAGTCCATCTTTCATTTTGTATAATACAGAACTTGAAATACATTTAAAAGTGTTGCAAAAGGCAATTAAGTTTTTAAACCAATCCTTAAAGCATCACTGCTAATATTAGTTTGAAATCACAGGGGCCTAAAATAAGACCAAGATAAGGAATCACCAAAGTCAGAAGGAGAGAGAATAGCATAAGGAAAAACCAATCTGTGTAAGCTCCCATGTGATTACTAGTAAGCAGGAAGAAAAATGACCTATTGGTGGTAATCACAGAACTAAGGCTCCACAAGAATCACACCTCTGTGTAAGAGATTTTGAAAACGCTGTAGCAGTAAGTCCTGTGTGATACATATTATGTAAAATTAGAAATTATTTTATATATTCTATTTGAAAAGAAAAATACTTATGGAAGTTCATTTCATCAAAATTTATTTTATAAGCCAGGTGTGATGTCTCATACCTTGCTTCTCACAAGGCTGAGATTGTGAGGACCATGATTCAAGACCAACAACAGCAAAAAAAACCAAAACTCATTAGATCCTCATATCAAACAATTAAAAACTGGGTGCAGTGATACAGGTGCATTATCCCACATGTATTTTCTTCCAACATGGGAGGAAAATAAGTCCAGTCAAAAAGCAGGACCCTATTCAAAACATAAGGAAAAAGGACTACAGGTACAGGATAAGTAGTACAGAAGGACCTGCCTATCAAGCACAAGTCCTTAATTCAAATTCCAGCACCCCAAAAAAGGTATACATCATATTATTCACATTTTGAGATTTCATCTTAAATAGTATTTTCTTTACCTAGAGTTTCACACTGGTATTTCACAAAAATAAACTAAAATTTTAAAGTACAAAAGAAATATGCAGGCTGGGCGCCAGTGGCTCACACCTGTAATCCTAGCTACTCGGGAGCCTGAGATCTGAGATTCGCAGTTCACAGTCAGCACAGGTAGGAAAGACTGTGAGATTCTTATCTCCAATAAACCACTAGAAAACTGGAAGTGGTGCTGTGGTTCAAGTGGTAGAGTGCTAGCCATGAGCTGAAGAGCTGAGGGACAGTGCCCAGGCCCAGAGTTCAAGCCCCACAACTGACAAAAAAGAGAAAAGAAAGAAAAGAAAGGAAGGAAGAAAGAAAGAAAGATAGATGCAGACAGTTGTTAAAAGATGGATGAAAAACAATACAGAGAAAAAAAATTCTGTTTTTTAGGTGATTAGGAAATTAATGACCTCAAACAGAATGACAACCTAAAAGAAACTTGAAGAAAATAATAATTCATACAAGGAGAGGGAGAAGAGAATAATGACACAATGCTATTTTCTACAAATAAAATTTAAAAAATTAACAAAGTAGATAAACATTAGCATCTCCTGTAGAGAATAGTCAAGACCTTATTTAGGAGACATAGGATACACACACACACACACACACACACACACAAACACACACACACACACACACACACACACACACACACACACACACACTGCATTTTGAAAAAAAACATGGTAAAGATAAATTACAGATCTTCTTCTCTTTTCTTTGTGCTGATGCTAGGTCTTAAACTTAGGGTCTTGTGCTATCACTTGTTTTTGCTCAAAACTACCACTCTACCACCTGACCCACACCTCCACCTTTTTGATGGTTAATTGTAGAGAAAAGGTTCATAGACTTTTCTGCCCAGGCTGGCTTCAAACCATGTACATATGCCGGTGGTATGTGAAAAAAGAAACTTGAATAGTATCGAAGTAGACAATAAACAATTTTTGTTAACTTATACAACTACAAAACACTAAGCTTGTTTAAATTTCTTATTTTAAAACCAAGAAAATGAGCAAGACTTCATAAAATTATATGGGTATGAGTACTTAAAAAATAATTGTTGGAGAGAGACCAAGATGGCGACGGGGCAGTAGGGAAACGCCACAGCTCTCTCCAACCAAAAAGAGAGTTCGAGTTCCAACCTTTAATCTCCCCAAGAGACCGACAACAACAAAAAGACGAACACTCAGAGAAAAACCAGAGGTGGAAAATAACAAAAAAAAAAAAGAGAGGAAAAGAAGAATTTCAGAACAGAGAAGAGCGAAGACCCCTCCCCCAACCTTTACTGGCCGCGCGGCAGTGCGCCAAGCCGCCGGCCAGCTGGCCCCCCGGGGGCTGCCAGAGCCACAGAGACACAGGGGGCTGCTTGCAGATCACCAGGTACCGGATTGCAGAACAGCAGATCGCCAGGAACAGAGAAACCTACCAGCCGGGAGTCTCCAGGAGGATCCCACCCCACCCATCACTCTCCACCGGAGCGGAGAGGCTCCATCCCGCCAAAGCCGCCCGGCACCAGCAGCGCCACAAAGGGACCTGTCCGCAGACCACCCACCCAATCGCGATCGCAACGACCCGGCGGGGGGCCGCCCAACCCAGCCCGCAACCACCCCAACTGAACTCGGATTGCAACAACTGACGACCTACAGGGTGAGTACCCATCAGGGGACAGGGAATCCATCAAGGGAGACCAGAGCTGGAGGGAATCCCCAGACCCTGACCTAGACTCCCTACCCCAACACCCGGACCACAGGACCCACTAAAACTGGGAACTGTTCGAGAGCCCCACCAGCCGGTGGAGCACACTCTGCTGGCCAGGCCAGAGCAAGAGCGCCCCTGGAAGGGAGCTTAAATGCTCAAGCCAGGAACAGTGCCCCTGGGTCAAGACTACCAACAGTAGAAGAAATTTGAACTGTGTCCTCCAGGCTGCATAACCAAGGTGGTATACACATTAGCACAGGCCTAACTAGCGCGCTCCAGGCTGGGGCCGGAACCAGGCCAGGGGACCGGCGCCTGAACAAAGCAAAAAGGGTCAGAAGTGGGGCTGTGGCTCAAATGGTAGGGTGCCAGCCCTGAGCTGAAGAGCTGAGGGACAGCACCCAAACCTAGAGTTCAAGCCCACAACCAGCCCAAAACAAACAAACAAAAACACATCAGGAGCCCATAGCAGACTCCAGTATTTGGGAGAGTGCATCCAGAGCATCTGATCTTCCCAAGAGCACCCGCAGGAGCAAACACAAGCAGTCTAGGCTGCTCAACCCTTCCAAAGGCGGGAATTGCTACAGCAGAGAGCTGAGAATCCTAAGTGAATAGCAGCTGGAAATAGGCTCCCAACAGAATCCAGATCAGACACAGACTCTCTCTACCAATAGAGAATCAGCAACCAAGCAAAGACAGACACACCAAAACAAGATTGAAGAGCAGTCTCCTGAACCCCCATGCGAAAATCACAGAGAAAAATCACAAGGTTTACCACTACCCAGGACAGCAAGCTCACCTCAAAAGCCAGCAGCCACGCAGGGGAGAGCCCCAGTGGGAGCAAAGCAGGAATGGAAGACAAAAACTACATCCAAGGGTTGCTGGAGGCAATGACTCAAGAAATAAAGCGAGAAATGGATCAGAAATTGAAAGAGCACAAGGATGAACTATCAAAAGATATACAGGATATCAAACAAAAAATGGATGCAAAAATAGAAGCTGCACAAACCTCAGTAAGAAGTGAGATAAACGCCAAATTAGAGGTAATGCATACTGATATCACCTCATTGAGAGGTGAGATCAGTACTCTGAGAACCAACATTGAATCCATAAAGGGATCCATTTCCACCATGCAAACCACAATAGAAGCCACGGTCAACAGAGTGAATGAAATGGAAGGTAGAGTGTCAGATACAGAAGACAGAATACACCAACTGGACCAAAAAGTGACAGATATGGAAAAATCACTCAAATTAAACCAAAGGGAAATTCAAGAGCAAGCAGATAATGCTAAAAAATTTAACCTTCGCATAATCGGAGTGGACGAAGGTGAGGAATTCCAGAGCAAGGGAATGCAACACCTATTTAACAAGATAGTCAATGAAAATTTTCCCCACCTCAAAAACGACCATCTTAACTACATCACAAAAGCTTATCGAACACCCAACAAGCAAGATCCCAGGAGAAACACTTCTAGGCACATAATAGTAACAATGATGGATCTGAATAATAAGGAAACAATCCTGCATGCAGCAAAAATGAAGAAGGAGCTATACTACAACGGGAAAAAAATTAGAATCACTGCAGATCTCTCCACACAAACAATGAATGCAAGAAAAGCCTGGGAAAGCACCATACGAGCCCTGAGAGCCAATAACTGCCAACCCAGACTGATATACCCGGCAAAGCTAGCATTCACATTCGATGGAGAACTGAAAACTTTTAATAGCAAAGAAAAACTAAATGAATACATAAACATTAAGCCAGCATTACAAAGAATTCTAAGAGGGGGGACACAACCTGAAGAAAGCAACCAGGAACTGGGACCTGCCCCAAACAGGCATTACTCAAAGTCTAACTGAGCAAGCACAGGAGGAAAGGAAAGAAGAAAAACTTAGGAAAACGGAATGGCAGGGACAACAATGCATCTCTCTATACTTTCTCTTA